AATCCTAACTGTTTCTATCAAGAGCGTATCATTGATGATGAGGAAGATGAAATGACGATTCGATTTCATTGTGCCTACCAGATTTGAGCAATGGATAGAAGACCGCTCGTCCAAACAGTGAACTGTCACACTAGCCTGCTGTTTTGAACGCAATAAAGCACATCTTTCATCGTGTTACTCTCTAAGACAGCTCATTTTCAGTGCCGATGATTTTATTATGTTGACAGTAGTTATTCAATGATTTTCTGCAGTTAAACGTACCTTGTTGAAGTACCTCATTGGTCCTCAGGTTATCTGATGATTACGGATGAAACCGCTCACTGTGTCAATCGTTTTACCATCTGCGTCGAGTACAGCTTGTACCAATCACTTTAGAACCGGGCATAAGAAGTCAGCGTGTATCAAAGTCTTTCGTTCAGAACTCTGAGAATGTTGATGTGCTGCGATAAGAAAGAACCGAAGAACATGGACGGAAAAAATGATAAATTAAACTGTCCTACTTGCGAAACGCTTCGGAGGACAGTTGACTGATAAGGGTTGGCTGGTTCAGAGTAAAAAAGCATATTTGTTTCGAATGTTCTTCTCCAGTATTTGTATCATTTGCGTATCATTTGAAAAGGCGGAAATTCATAATCCGCTGAAAGCAAAGAAGTGTAAACTCAAATAGCAGCGACAGGGAAATGATAAATGAGAACAAACCACAGGAATAACAGACCCCATTGATCTCCGATGAAAGCAATGTTCCATCAACCAAATGTTCTTCATTCTCCACAATCGCAATGTGCTGCACGTTCCTGAGAAATTATTTATCTACTAAAATCAATCAATGTAGCATGCCTCAGAATTTAACGTGACGCAAAAGTATGCTAATATAAGCTACTGACAGGAAACTGTGTAATTTCACTCCTTAGGATTAATGGCATCAACAGGAGTATCACATATTGGCACGAAGCTGCATAATCGTCATGTGAATGTTTCTGTAAACAGTTACCAATCATCGAAATCCAACCGGAAGATGCATTTGGAGAACAGTATATAAGCCAGCAGTTTGCAGCAAATAGCAACTCAGAGAAGATGAAATCAAATATAGTGAAAATATTGCTGATCACTGTGTGTGTTAGCGGGATCGGTGGTAAGTAATCCGTTGTTGCAGAAAATGATTTTACATTATCAGGACAAGATACAGAGATTTGTAAAGACGTTGTCGCATCGAATGAAGTAGAGAGCATCGTTGTAAGCAGTAATAGCACTGGGTGTCAGTACCGCGTCATAACGGATTCCGGTAAAGAAGTGAAGGTCTACGTTAATGTGAGTTAAAAACAAATATTTAACTGTATTTTGAACAACAATACGCGACTATTGTATATCTTTACGGATATTTTCATTTTTATACAGACGACGAGTGGAACGAAGTGTGTGAAGGTGACCAGTAATGGTAAATCGGAAACGCTTTGTCCATCAGGTCCAACGAATCAGTTGACATCCAGCTCACCGATTGAAGTGAGTGCGGATTCCGACACGACCAGTCCAAACGCACCAACGACAACACCAACTGAGGCAGCAACTGAACCCACCAAAGCAACTCCAGATTCAACTGATCCCGAACCTTCGGAAGGGCAGAAAAAACCATTGCCAGAAACCGCACCCCCAGCATCTGGTCAACAAGGTGAAGAATCGGGATCTCGTGCAGATAAAGAAGACCAAATGGAAAATGAGCACCAAGATGAACAACCAAATGTAGGCCCAGCTGCTCTCATTCCTGCTCTGTTGCGGAAAGCCAGAGCTAACTCGGATACCGATGGATCTAACGACGTAATTGTGTAGTACGTATTGGGTGAGTATCAGAGAGCAGCATCTGCGTTGTACATGTCAGTTGTTTCTTAAAACAAAAAAGTATGTTTTCGCTATTAATTTTGTTCTCCTGATCTTACTGAAAACCTACTTCTATCCTTTTCTTTGCATTCTGCTCGATTCCAGACGGTGCTTCAACCTCAAATCCTCCAGTATTCCTACTTTTTGGGCTCCTTGCACCTCTTATCAATGGCAGTATATAGTGAGTTGCGTAAAGCAATTTGTTCTACGTTCTATGAATTTCCTCAAGTAGATCTTTTATGTGATCAACAGGAGTTAGGAAACAATTTGCTTTTGATTTTGCAGAAACGTAACACATGCAATCGTCACGTAGAAATCAAAGTACCTGGACAACGTTACGGATAAATTCAGTGAAGAAATAAAGTAACATTCACTCAACGTTTGTTTTCAAAATATATGTATATATATTATTGAAATAAATAATGCAAAATATAATGTAAATATTTGCATACTTACGGAGGGCTTTTTTCATGTATCTCAATCCGCAAGTATGAATATGGAAAAAAAGCATCAGCTAACGGTAAACGAACGGTACCTTTCAATCCTGTTATCGATCCCAAGTTTAGACGATAGCGATTGCGGCGAAAGGAAACAGCTAGTTATCGAATAAGGCATCCAAATCGGATTCGTCAGATTCAACGGGAATAAGACAGCAAGTTATCCGACGATAGAATATAGTAAATTTGAAATCTGTTTAACTGGTGAGAGCAGCATGTAGTTGTTTAACTGCGAAACTGGCGTCTGTCAAAATAAAGGAATTATAAGTGAAACGAAGTACACGTTTCTGTGAGGAATGCGAGTAAACGTTGAGCAATACAATAATCAAGATCCATTCAGACTAGTGGTGGTCGAGATTGAAAGCTCAGTCGCCAGAAGAAGCATGTTCAATTCACACCAACACCGTTTGACGTGAGATGTTTGGGCCATAACGTATCAGTGAAAATTGAATTGTTGAATAAGATAAATCAAAACACCAAGCTAAAGTATATTGAACAAACTTGCGCGACAATCCAAAATTCATTCCACTCAACATGTTACCACCATTGGTCCGAAACCGTCAACGCCATCTGCAGGCACTGATTTGAATTTTTAATTTATTCGATAATCAACAGTTTATAATCAAGAAATTCCCATATGCTTCTGTATCAATGACAGCCTTATGAAGTACACGTTTTAGATTACTACGGTGAATCGTGTTTCAAATAACAACAAATAGCGGCATGAAAAAAACTAACAGTTGCGTCAAATCAAGTGAACGGTTGATCGGTTGTTACCAAGCGAGGGGAACAATTTCGGTCACTTTATGGTTTACTTTACCTGTACAGTATTCCTTAATTTGCTCCAAAACATTGTGACTGTAATCCGTTACAGCAAACAATTTCTCAATTGTAAATGAAAAGTATCTTTAGGATTATGACGTCATACATCGTAAATGAGTTCGTTTTTTTGATACAGTGGAATTGCTTTGCACAAATATTGATACAGTTAATAAATCATACTCGTATTTAGGACTGATTGAATATCACTTGATTGACCTTTGCACAAACGACAATTGCACGAATTAGACAAATAAAGATAACGTTTTACCCTGCACCCGAATCAGCCCACCTCTCTCTTGCTGTGTCCAATATCTCTGGAAATACGCACACTGAAAAGAGTGATACCGATTCAGTCAGTCATTTTTCTCAAAATGAATCATAGCTCACTTACGCGAATTTCTCTCTCAAGAATCGGGCATCGTGTAGAGCGATTAGCACTAACTAACCCGTGCAAAATGTGTGATACTATATGTGTGAAAGCAGGTTGGTTGACGATGTAGACAGGAAATAACGATTACACAGCAGACATATATATCTTTGATAATGAACAAGGAGTACTCCAAGATTATGATTTTTGTGATTTTTGCCCAAAAATGTTGTGTTTTTATTTGTGAGAACGATTCCCTATAATATCAAAGCATTTCTTATAACCTCAGCGTCACAGTAAATCGTTGTGTGAAATTTTGACTTTTCTCGTCTGCTCTTTTCCGATTATCTAATCAGAATAGATGGCGGTACATGTATACTTGCTTTGGCTTTCTATGGTGATCCTGGCCTACGAGATGACGCGTACCCTGGAGCGACGCGTTACACATTTTGGACAACTGTGATCAATCAAACTTCACGCGTGACATCAACAACGCTCGTACGTGACACTGCTTCTGACTAAATACCACAGATAGATCGTACCAGTCAATGAGACACCCTGCGGCCCAGACAGAAGCAGAACGCGCGATTCATAGAAGCCCGAATAAATAATGAGCCTAAATTGTACATATTATTCAATCCCCGCTATTTCTTCCAATGAATAAATTGCTACTGCTCAAGTCCTTCTCGCGTCTCTCTTATCTGCGATAGTGCTTGCTAGTGCCAGTGCAGTTCAGTGATTACGTGATCCAGTCAGTGGTTGCTGATTCATGATTCGTATTCCATGATTCGTATTGCGTGGTTCATGTTCCGATTTCAGTGCGGACTATTACTACCTCTATTAATACTACAAGCAATACCCTTCCTCTGAGTTTACAATATATTGGTGAGGCGTACGGAGTTGATAAAGAAAAATATTATCGTTGAGTCACACACGTTCCGTCCGTTATGCGCAATCAAACAGGGAAGCAAAATCACATTTATCTATCTTATTCGAGATTCAAGTAGTTTTATGGGTGAGGATAGAGCGGGGGTTTTGGTCGATATTCGAAGTTCATCGGATTAAATCCATTTGCTCCTATCGGCACACTTCTTGCCTAAGCCGGTAGCCAAACTTCACAAGTCTATCCTGATCCATCTGCTCGTTTGCACGCAAATTACATAATCGCTCATGTGATACTGGTTAGGAGAACTCACAGCTCCGACGTCCATCAGTTGGAAAGAAACCCAGTTTGCAATTTTTTCCAAGAACATTCCGCTTTCCATACAAGCTTAAAAACTTGCTGACAAGTTTCAACATAACGTGGCAAATATGCAAATGTAAACCATATTGGAATGACCTACTGATAAATTTATGATAAAATGTGCGCTTGAAACTCAGAATCACACCACTCCCTATGCTAGGGATGAACCAAGTTACTGAATCATCTTTGTTCAACTGTTGTGTTCAATGATAGTCCGTCAGTTGATTTGGTCCGGACGCAACGAAAGGGACAGGTGACAACCTGGTAACTTCAATCGGACGGTTCCCACAAAGTAAGAATTTCCACGCAGGATACGGGCTGACTTGCCACATAATTATCGGGCTTGATTGATATTCGAATTTGACTCACACTTTCTTCTGAGTCCTGTGGGTGGGATAACTGATATTGATTGATTTGAGTGACTAACCTCTAGACGGGACGGTGTAATTGCACAACTGAGGAGCTATAATAAGGTCGAAACTCGTGTCCGATTCTTTGAAGTGTACGGTTGAATCGACGAACTGAGGTCTGTGAGAGAAGGTGAAGTCCGGAGGAAAGTTCTGTTCTTTTAATCGAAGGTAACATACAGTAATCTAAGTTTGGGTTTCAAAGGCAGAACTTGTCGTTCAGGTGCATGGCTTCACGGACATAAAATCAATGGCACAACTCTGAATCAGTCCGTTTCACTGATTAACTGAAAACGATAATGCATCCGAACGTGATCGAGTTAACCGAAATACATTTTGCGCACCATGGTTTTGTACCTGCAGCCTCAAAGTGATTTGGATCAAAACCCAAACCAATCAACAGGCTACGGTGATCGTCGTGGACCGTTATTTTAATCCATGCTTGGATGTTGGTTGTTAGAAGTTGTTTTCAATGTTTATAATAGGCCGATAAATAGAATCTTTCGAGGAAGATAATTTGTGTGACGTAAACGATATACTTGGTATCAAGGTTCGTTGTTGCTTGACATATTATGTAGTCAAAAAGCTATCTTAGACACATTCATCAAGTTTTTGTCGGGTATCACTGGAGGGCAAGTGGCCTGTACACATAAAAGTAAGCGAAGATTTCTTTGAACACCTAAACCAAAGCACAAGGAAAAACTAAAGAACTGTTTTGAGACTAAATCTCTGTTTGACTTCCTTTTACTCTATTCAGGTTTACCTGTCATGAATCTTGAATTTCAGTTTGTAGCGTATTGTCCTATAGTTCTTTTACACTTTATCACATAACGAAATATTCAATTAATGGAAAATAGATAAAATATACCGATCTGACAGACACCAGTCTTTTGAATCTCACGTGATTTGCTTGAGACAATGGATCGTTTCGCAAAAACTACCGCGTTCTTTGTGTTTCCAAACAACGTCCAATTTCACCCCTTTGGACTGATAGAAGTATATCTGCTGTGATCAAAATGAATTACCGGTTAATTTGGCGTTCCTTGGGTAACAACCGCGACATTGATGTGGTTATTAAGGACATCATTCCACGTTTATTTAGAACATGAAGCAAATATAATCTGTAGCATGCAACAAATATTGCCGGATACACTGTGCAGCGTATTCTTTATCCAACTTCATTATGAGAAGTCGTTCTTTCGATTCTCTTAGGAAGCTTCTCTCGGATTCTGTCCTTAGCTGGATCCACCTTTTTTCACCAAATCACAGCACGAAATTTCCGTTCTCAATGAAATGATTCATTTCTTTGGTATTTTCACCACGCAGGAAACTGCTTGTTCATCATTGTACAGGGCTCGCTGCCGAAAAGCATCAACCTATCCGGAAAAACATCGAAAATGTTGCAAATGCTAGCTCGAAAGCTACGCGAAAAAACTGGTCGACCCTATCGGATGGAACCATCTCCGTTTTGAATGAACCATTATTTGTATATAATTGAAAGTTTATTCATTATTCTACCAAGGCAGTAAAACTTCATTGGTCCGAAAAAAACGGAGTCATTTAGTGGGTTATAACTTAATAAGACCGATGTTTCCCAATAAACGCCAAAGGTGTAT